TTTTTTTTTTTTTTTTTTTTTTAATGAAAAAATTATCTGTGTCCTTTTTATTGTATGCAAACAACAAACAACAAACAACGTCCCAAAGCAAAGCAAAAGCAGAGCAGAGAACGAAAGAGGGGGTTGGTTAGCTTAAACACGTAGAGACGACTCTCTGAAACAAAAGAAAATTCAAAGCATACGTCTCTTTCGTAGACACAGAGGTGGACGCTGGTTTTACTTTTTTACTTTTACTTTTCACCAATTATTATTATTATTGTTATTATTACTATTATTATTATCACACTCTATATATATCTACGTACACAATGAAACAGTGTGGTGTACGTTACAGGAAATGGATCCCATTTTTCTTTGCTGCTTTGGTTTTAAAATGGAAGAGAGGCATGAAGAAAGCTTAGCTTTTTATGGAATTTAAGTTAATTCTTTTTTGACCAAAGAATAACCAAAATATTTTACTAAATTAAGCCTGCCTTTGTTTGTGGGTTTTTGGAAATGGGCGATATTCGTTTGGTCAGTGGGGGTATCTGCGAGACCAACCCTAAAACTCTTCGTTTTCAGAAACCTTCTTTTTTTTCTTTTTTTTCTTTTTTTTCTTTTCTTTCTTTCTTTCTTTCTCTCTTTCCTTCCTCCCTGCCTGCTAATTTGTCATTCGGATCTCAGCCAAGATTTAGTGAGCTTTTTTTTTTATTGTGTGTGGGTCAGGTGCAGGGGATCTAAGGGTGTGGCCTTGTGACTGAGGGACCACGCACAGATTGAGGGTAATGTGGTCATATTCAAATAATTACGTGATCATAGCCACATGATGCTTCTTCTTCTTCTTCATCCTCTTCTTCTTCATCCTCTTCTTCTTCATCATCATCATGATGGTGATGATGCAATGGTCAACGGTGATTGGAATAGAAATGGAAAATAAAAATAGAAAAATGATTGAAAAGGGTAAATGCCAGATTTTGGCGGAGCGATGAGACAGCTTTGGGCTATGGATAATACAGTTTTCTTTTTTTTTTTTTCTTTTTTTGACAGCATTATTAGTCTGAGGCTGCGGCTGCGGCTGCGGCTGCGCCTACAGACAGCTTAAACGGAACCAGTCCCTCCTCCCCTATCTTTTCCAGTCACGTCATTTCAAAATACCTAAATCAATTTACCATCTTACATTTTTACCTCTTTACAACTCACCACCCCAACACACAGAATAAACCGGGACAATTTTGCTGACGGTGGATTATACTTCGATCTAACTAAATGGGCCTTAGAGAAAAGGGACGACAATTCCAAATACTACCTGGTGGGCCTTGTGAAGGCCCAACTCACGCGTAGAGGCCGTCCAAAAAACGCCTGTCTATTCAACGAGAGATGTAAACTAAACAGGCCAGGCCCAAACCCATTTAACGTTAAACGGCCCAATTTCGAGAAAAGACATGGCCCAATTTCTAGACAAGACATGGGCCTGTTCCTCGAAACACAGCCCAGTCGAACTAGCCTTACATCTAATGCTATTATGTAACCATGTTTTAAATTTGCGGTAGCATAAAAACATGGATAGTTTAGGAATAACCTTACGTTAATCACTAATCTCAAGCTAGATATCAATTAATCTTGCATTAATCATCATCATCCATTTACCTTTACCAATAAATTTTGACATATCTCCAATAGGCTATGTTATCTACTAATTTCAACCCATTAAAAGATGCAGAAATGTAAGATAAATCAAAGAGATAAATTGACAAGCATACAGAACCATAATCTAAGATGAATCGCAATCGAAATCAATTTATTTAATCATGAGGTCTAAATTCATAGTTGAAAAGATGAAATTAATCTGAACCTAACAATTTAAAAACATTAAAATTTGTGGTCATGCTATATGATATCTAAATAAGAGGTGGTGATTCACACATTTGTCACAATCAAAACCCACACATGGAGCATTTTTCACAAGAATAATACACTGAGAAAATTGGCCAATCATCTAAAATTGACAAGTCACTCTCGCAAGAGCTCCAGAATTATAGTCACCACTACTCCAACAAAAGGGCTCATCCATAAGAAGTTTCTACTGTTATATATTCAACATCTAGCATGCTCTTTCACTATTATTACCTTCCAATCATGAAATTTATATTTTCAGACAATGACTATAACTTGAACATATGAAGGAGAGGTTGAACTGCAAAAATGCAAGGCAGAAAATGGTTTACCAGAAAAATTATGTACCTTCCTCGTTTGGCTTCATTCTCAAGAGAATTGAGTAATCTAAAGGTTGTTAGACAACAAAGAGAGCTCACTATTGATTATCGAACTTTCCTTGTATGAACAAAGTAAGTCAGAGGATACATAAATCAACAAAACTTGGATTAGAGAATTACACATTTCGTTCATAAGTAGAGGGACTCTTACCAGTTAGTTTATAAGGTCCCTTTAAAGAAAAAAAATATGATACAAGCAAATGGGATGTTTTTCCCTCATCACCACCTTCTCACCAATGATGTCAACAACTGCACAACATAACTTCTGTTAGGATTATGTAACCAAAAGCAATTGACATGAGAATGCAAGTCGTGGAAGAAAATGAAAATGAAAATGAAAATGAAAATGAATCATTTTTGAAGATTGTCATATCAATTGTATTCAGAAACGATGAAGATTTTACCGAGATGTCGTTCAGGTGTGATTATCCAACCCATCACGTGATACCAGTTAAGTATCTAGTTAAAGATAGAAATAAGCAGTTTGCAAAGAAGCATTCATGACAAGGAATGGCATAAATAGGCACCTCAAATAGTTCAAATGGGTTGCCACGCCGATAGACATCACTCTTCTTGCTGTTGTTGACTGGAAAAACTTTATACAGTATTGCTCTCCATCCAATGAGCAAAACAGCCGTGCTTCCCATCGTCACTCCTATGAAATTATATGGCGGAAGATGGCCGGATGTTGCTACCCGAACTAGTAGACCTAGCTGCAGTAGGCATACAGAGCAAAGTGATCTTTTGTGCTGATGGTAAGAACCAAGCTCTATCTATAATGCCCACACTTCAGAATTCATAGGACAAACGGGGAACAATGAGTCACGATATCGTTATCTATAATGAGTTAAGAACGCGAAAGGCAACCCAAGATCACATGAACATCATAAATAAGAAAACACAAATTTGCTTGTGATGGCGGCCTTAGTTCAATGGTATTTTCATGTGAACAACTCAACTCTAGCCTTTAGTGGTAAAAATGAAGGAAACCATTATTTTTCAGCAAACAAAGATTTAGTTCAAGGATTTGGGAGTGCTACTTTAGACAAAAGTTCTTTAATCAAAAATATTTATGTAAAAAGTGTATAATGATAAATTATATTGATGCTTGGTTCTATATTTTTAAAGGTGGCTTTTTCAGTGTTTACAATCCATCACTTGGGAAACCCAAAAGTTGTAGTGTTATTCAGATAAGAACTGAAGCTGGCCTTTCCAACAAGAATTCTAATTCAGGAGTAACCAAACTAAAACCAGTTCAACTTTGGAACTCAGAACTAAGATGCACTGAACAAACACAATTAAGGCTGATAAACTTACTGGAATTCCCAAAGCCCATGATTTGGAAGCGGCAATAACAGCCTTGGAATAACCATTCATCCCACGACCATCCTCTCCATAACCACCGAGAAAGTAAGCACTCAGAAACCAACCTATAATAATCCATTCATCAAGGGAAGAAAAAAACCAATGAAGATTGAACATCAAATTTTGGCATAGGAACAATCATACCAGCAATAAAAGGGTCAGCCGTGCGTACTGTCTCGAAATCAAAAACAGGGAAACCATGGGTGAATCTTCCAATTGAGGAGAACAAAAGCAAGGCCAATACATCTCCACCAGCCAGCAGAGCCACGCGGCTGAAGAACCACAGAACAATAAGCAAAATTCACAATAAATTTTATCAATCTAAGGAATCGTCAAAATTACCCCCATTTGCTCAAACGAGACGACGTATTGGGCTTATCGAACTGAATAACTCCTTCCAACGGAACACTCTCATCGCCGACGAAAACCGTTTGGTCAGTAGGAAAAGGAGGCGGACTTGGAGAGTTGGAAACAGCCTGTTTCGTCGAATCGACGGTTCCTTCCGCTTTGGAAAGAGTGATATTAAGAGGTTTCGCAGGATTTCTTCTAGGAATAAACTTAGAGCGCCGAAAAGGATTAGGGTTAGAGAATTTGAGAGAGGGAAGCGTGGTTAAGGAGAACTTTCTGGCCGGTAAAACGCCGGCCGGAGCTTGGCTCAGTGGCAACATTTTCCCTCTGCCTCGCCTTCACCGTCGCCAGTACTCTTGTGACTTCTATTATCCAAAAGATCACAAAAATTGACCGAGCCTTTCTATGTATTTTATGGACTCTTTAATGGACAAATTTTTTCCCGCAAAATTAATAGGTATTTATATAAATTAATATTAAAAAAAAAAAAGAGTAATATGTGCTAATTTAATGGTGTTAGGACATAGTTCAGTCCGAATTCAATTTTATTCAAATAAAAATTTTAAAATAAAATAAAATAATTAAATTGAAATTACACCATGGATGGTGTGGATGGAGATGAAGAGTTTGATATTATCCCTCCACCTCACCATATTCATTTCCTTTTCATATCATTTCTTTTTAACCTTTCATGAACAAACAATATAAATAAATAAAAATTAATGGTAAAATAGGAAATAATTTGGGTGGCTACAGAATTGTGACATTGCTGGTGCTGGATGATGAATGTACCCACGTGCTCATTTAAGGAATGATAATGAGTTTATAAACAAAGAATACTCCCTCCCCACTGGTACGAGAATGATAATGAGTTTATAAACAAAGAATACTCCCTCCCCACTGGTACGAGATCTTTTGAAAAAATCCAAAGCAACGCTACGAGAGTTTATCCTCAAAGTCGACAATAGCAGAGAGTAGGAAGAGAAGGTGATGGCATGATGAGGGCATTGATACACCTCAAGAAGAGCGGGCGAAAGAAACGAACACCAAAAAAGTTTCAGAAAACAGAAAATAAACATGGCTGACAAACTATTATGGAAGGTCTGCTGTTGCAGCACATACAAACATTTATAACTTAAACATTCTTCTTCGGCCTTCCTCTCAAACACTAGGCAAAGAAGAAGAAGAATTCACAAAACGATCGCTGCACTGGCTGCTGCCTCCTCCTCCTTCATGAGTCTTGTTGTTCTCTGTTCTTGGGCTGCTCCCTGTGCTGCTGTTTGAGAATGAACCAAATGCCGTCTTCTGGAGAACCCCGGTGGGGGACGACCCTAGCGATGGACTGTTGTTGTCCCACCCTTCTGTCATCAGGTTGAGTATCGACGAGCTCTTCAATTCCCCGCCGATGTTGTTTGTGCTATGAAGAACCTCTCCAAGGGGACCGCCCATGGAGCTCTCCCACGAGATGGGGATCCAATTTGCCTGCCTGTTGTTTGGTTCATCCATTACATTCCCCACTCCCAATCCCATTTGAAGAGGGTCCATCTCCTGCAACGACTTCAAGGGTGAAAGAGTGACTTTCTCGTTTGCTGGGGATGAAGTTGAGGATCTGAAATCCGAAGTAGCCATTGGGATGGATATAGATAACTGAGTCCTGTCGGATTGCAAATCCAGATTCGAGTTAGACCAAGAAACTGAAGAGCTGTCAGATTGGTTCTTGGGCCAATTGTTGAAGAATTGACGAAGAGAATGTTGGGTTTCGGCTGCCTCATGAGTACTACTGATGCCCTCTGACGAATTGTAACCTCTGTAGTTCATCAAAGAAGAGGCCTTTTGCGACTGATTCAGGAGGAAATTGGAAGAAACAAGCCCAAACTCTGCTCTCGTAGATTCTTCAAAAGGGTTCTGCTGTTTCTGAACTGCAAACGGAAGCTGCTTGGGTTGTTGTTTCATTTCAATCGAAGGAGACAGCACAGAAAAACCAGATGTGGTAGGTGTGTCATGTAACGCAATGCTACCATTCTCTTTGTTTGTTATTAACATTCTGCAACACAAAAATGACCCTTTGCAGACTTAGCAATGAAACTTGTACCAAAATCGAAATAATCTAACAAATCTCTCCTCTTTCTCTTAAAATTGTTTCAATTCTAAATATCCTAGGAACGATTAAACATAAAGTATCAAAATAGAATTTTCAATCAATGATTAAAGATTGGGGTTTGATTCGTTTAGTAATGGGGATCATGAACAGAACAGATTCTGGAACATTTGTGACGCAAAATGGAAAGGGGACAGTAACAAAGTTTTTACCTGTTGATTTGAGCAGTGGTGGAGGGAGGCGGGTGAGATTCAGCGCATTGGAGATTCTTGAAGTGTTGGTCAGCAAAGGAGAGGGTGTTGGAGGAAGCGTTGCTGGGCACCGCCGCAGCAGAAGCTGAAGAGGAAATCAGCTTGGTGGCGTTGGCGGCGGTGGTAATATTGGAAGCTCTGGCAACAGAGTGGGAGTGGCCAGCTTGGCTTTCCACAGGCTTTCTTGAACGATGGCGGCCTCTGTTCATATGCCGTTCACAGTACTTCTGATCGGCAACAGCGTCTCTAGAGCACCGCCATTTCTTTCCGTCGGTTCGACGACACCTTCCCGGTTCAGGATCACTATTATTCGAAAACCCCATATTGAAAGATCCCCATCCCACTAAAACAAACAAAAACATGCAAAACGTAAGCCTAAAAATTAAAAAGCCCTCCTTTAACAAGATCCATTGAAATGAAAAGGGGATACTCACCGGCGCCGGGTCGGAGAAATCCAGCGGAATAGGCCGAGAAGCCAGCAGATTCGAGGGCCTTTCTGATGGGAATAAGCAAATTAGAAGGAACAGGGACATTAGCAGTAATGTATTTGTAGATCAAAGCCTGGTGTTCGAGCTCCATCCATTGGGATGGAGTGAACGGAGCTCTAACACCTATAAAACCACTGACGTTCATGCTTCCGCCGTTCAAACCCCCATAATTGCAGCCTGTGGAAACATTGAATCAACACAACCGAAATATTTCAAAAAACGAAACGAAGCGGAAATTAGTGTACAAAATAGAAAAAAATCCTCAGAAGTTGAAACATGTCAACAATACTTGGGGGTAGGGGGCGACAATATTCGGTACACTGAGTTGATGTGTGGGGAAAATAGAAAAAGAAAAATAAGGACCTTTCTGTTGTTAGTAACAGCACCCACCCCTTATTTACAACAAATTCCTTTTTCCTCAAGACTCTGCTGTACTATAGAAGGTTTTTTTTTTTTTTCTTTTTAATAAAAAAAACGTCCATCAAACAGAAGACGAATTAGTGGGGGGGGGGGGG